ATTTTGATGCTCAAATTTTTCCAAATTTGACCAGTGGAGCCCTTTCGAGCTGATTCCTGTATCCTTCTGATACATCGCCCTGATTTTTTTAGCATGCTTTAATTTTCGGCATAAGATTGTATCTTAGGCTCATTTTGTACTTTTCTGTTCCAGTCCTAGCTAGTTTCTTTCTCAACATGCCTTTATTTATTTTAGCGAAGACATTGTTTATCAAGATTTGAGTACTAAATATACTCACTACTACTGGGGTATCATTGTTTTGGGCCCTCTTAGTGCACAGAGCTGGGAAATGCATACACATACATAGGTAGATGATAGGGATAGATAGATGGGTGGATAGATAAGTTCGATAGATGATAAATAGATAGATAGATGATAGATAAACAGAGAGATAAACAGAGAGATACTCAGATAGCTGATAGACATAGAACAAGCTGTGAATTCATACTGATATCTTCAGTCCCAATCACAGGATTCACTCTACTCTTTTCCCAATCCCATGGCTCTCTTCCTTTCAACAATGAGGAATCAGACTTCTTTTACACTCAATGTATTTGTTTGCCCAATCCTTAAAAACACATAAAGCAGTAACATATTACTAACTTACAACATCAAAAACAACAGTGCTACTTATTAAAGTTCAGTATTTATATATAGTTCTTTTGGTCTTTATTCCTAGGTTAAGTTTCCAAAACACTATATCAAAAAATAACTTGGGTCCATTGCCCCCATCTTCAATGTGATTGTATTTTTATTTGAAATACTTTCACTTGTTTCTGTTTGAATTCCATTTTAGATTCCTCTGATTTTTATTAGATTTATTTTGTGGGTTTAGTTTGAGTATGTAAAATATTAGCAAGATTACAAAAGTTAAAACTGTATGAAAAATTATACTTGGGGAGGCATCACTCCCTCATTCTCAACTGTTGATGCTCACTCACTCCTAGTAGGTAACCAATCTTATTGGTTTCTGGGTTTTTCATTCCTGCGTTTCTTTTTGCAAAAATGAACAGATATATGTATATTTTCTTGTATCTCCTTCTTTCTCTTACCCAAAAGATAGCATACTATATATACTTCATACAATTTTAACTTTGCTTTTCCAACTTAACTATATATTCTGCAAATCACTTCATATCAGTCTTAGAGATCTTTTCCTTTTAAATTTCCACAGTACTTCATTCTATGAATGTGCCATAATTAATTTAGCCAACCTCCTATGGATGGACATTTAGGTTGTTCCTAATATTGTAAAATTACAAACAATGCTTCAATAAATAAATGTGTGCATATAAATTCTCATACAGTTAGATATATATTTTCAGGGTAAATACTCAGAAGTGGAATTGCTAGGTCAAAAGGTAATAACAGGTAATTTTGTTAGATAATGTCAAATTTTCCTTTATAAGTTTTGTACCAATTTTTATTCCTACCAGGAATGTATGAAAATGCTATCCCACATCTTGCCAGCAGAATATGTCGCCAAGATTTTTGAGTTTTTGCGTATCTGATAAGTCAGGAAGGGTATCAGTATAATTTTACTTTCTCATATTCTCACTTCTCATATTATGAGTAAAACTGAACATATTTCCTTATGTTTAAGAGCCATCTATGTATGTAGACATGTTTTATATATAATATACATATTATAGACTATATGGTGTTAGAAGTTAGATTAATGATTACTCTCCGAGAAAGACAAATGGTGACTGGCAGTAAAATGTGAAAATTCAATGAGCTCATGATATATGCACTTTTTGAATATATTTCATTGAAAGATATTTTTTAATAATGAATGTCTTCCAAATAGAAGAAGGAATTTATAGGGATTAAGGAAAATATAATCAATCAAAAGGAAATTTGGTAATAAGAGAGGAAGGCAAAAATTAAATCATATAAATGTCATTAAAAAATTAAAACATAAAATGATAGGTGTTAAATCTATCAGTCATCACAACAAATGTACATGGACTACGTTATCCAATTAAAAGAGAGACATTAGCAATTTAGATAGAATAGACAGTATATACCTATATGGTATTTACAAGAGACATTTTTTTTTTATAATAGCCATCCTAACAGATATAAGGTGATATTTTAAAGTGGTTTTGATTTGCACTTCCCCGATAATAAGTAATGTTCAGCATCTTTTCATATACTTATTGGCCATTTGTATGTCTCATTTGGAGAAATATCTATTCAAATCCTTTGTCCAGTTTTTATTTCTTATGTTTTTATTTTTTATTTTTTCAATTTATGACTGCTCTGTAAAGGTTTTGACTTTTTAATAAGGTTATGTGCTTTTTGCTATTGAGTTGAAGGAGATCCTTATATATTTTAGATATTGACCCCTAATTAGATAAGTGGCCTGCAAATATTTTCTTCCACTTCATGGGTTGGCTTTTCATTATGTTAAATGTTTCCTTTGCTTGTAGAAACTTTTTAGTTTGATGTAGTATCATTTGTCTACTTTCGCTTTTGTTGCCTGTGCTTTTGGTGACATATCCAAGAAATCATTGCCAAGACTAATGTCACAAAATTTTCCCGTTTTCTTCTAGGAGTTTTACAGTTTCAGGTTTTATATTGAAGTCTAATCCATTTCGAGTTGATTTTGTATATAGTGTAAGATAAAGGTCTCACTTCATTCTTTTACATGTGGAATCCACTCTCCCGACACCATTTTGTTGAAAAAACTGTTCTTTCCCCATCATGTATTCTTGGCACCCTTGTTATAAATCAGTTGACCATATATGTGTGGGATTATTTCTGGACCCTTTATTCTGTTGCATTGCTATATGTATCTGTCTTTATGTGAGTACCATACTACGTTAATTACTGTAGCTTTGTAATCAACTTTGAAACCAGGAAGTGTTATGCCTACAGTTTTGTCCTTTCTAAAGATAGTTTAGGGTATTTAGGGTCCTTTGTGAATTTTAGGATTGATTTTCTATTTACATAAAAAATTGGATTATTGATAAAGATTAAATACAACCTGTAAATTGGTTTAGGTGGTATTAAAATTTTAACATTATTAAATCTTCCACTCTAGGAAAATGGGATGTCTTTACATTTTATTTTCAGCAATGTCTTGTAGTTTTCAGGATCTAAGTCTTTTATCTATTTAGTTGTTAAGTATTTTATTCTTTTCGATACAATTGTAAATGAGATTGTTTTCTCTAATTCCCTTTCACATAGTTCATTGTTAGTGTATAGAGACACAACATATTTTTGTATGTTGATTTTTTATCCTGCAATATCATTAAATATATTTGTTAGCTCTAACAGTTGGGTTTATTTTTTATTGATACAGAATAATTGTACATATTTATGAGGTACATGTGATATTTTAATACATGCATACAATGTTTAACGATCAAATCATGGTATTTAGGATATGCATCTACTTGAATATTTATCATTTCTTTCAGCTGGGAACATTTCACATCTCTTCTAGACTATCTTTATTAACATTAGTCATTCTACGGTGCTATCAAAACTTATTCCTTCTGTCTAATTCTAGTTTTGAACTCATTAACCAACTTCTCTTCATCTCCTATCCCTTCCCAGCCTCTGTGAACTAGCATTCCATTCTCTTCCTCCATGAGATAAACTTTTTAGTTCCCATTTATGAGTAAGAACATGCAATATTTGTCTTTCTGTACTCGGCTTGTTTCACTTCAGATAATGTCCTGTCTCTATCTCTTTATCTCTTAAAAAAACAGTAGAAAATGTAAACTAAGTGAAACAAATTAAGCAATAGTTAAGCAATGGAGCATCGATTATTTCCTTAGACAATTTTATGGTCATGTGATGTGCTGCATACCAGTCAAAATAATAGTTATGAGATTTTAAATATCTGGTGCCATACATGTCATAGAAAATTTTGCTAAGTTGTCTATATCTCAAATTAGATATTTGAACTCATACAAATTAAAAGGTAAATTTGGCAAAATCAACCCCCCCGCCGCTTTTTTTTTTTTGAGATGGAGTCTCGCTCTGTCTCCCAGGCTGGAGGAGTGAGGAGCGTGATCTCAACTCACTGCAACCTCCGCCTCCCGAGTTCAAGTGATTCTCCTGCCTCAGCTTCCCGAGTAGCTGGGACTACAGTCACCTGCCACCACGCCTGGCTAATTTTTTGTATTTTTTAGTAGAAACAGGTTTTCGCCGTGTTAGCCAGGATAGTCTCGATCTCCTGACCTCGTGATCCGCCCCCCTCAGGCTCCCAAAGTGCTGGGATTACAGGCATGAGCCACCACACCCGGCCTGTTTTATTCTTTTATTATCATTTTTCCCTGAGTTTTGAATCATACCAAATGTTTGTGGAAAATACCAAGATGCATTTACTTGCTTTTGTTGACATTTTAGATTTAATTTTATTGCCTATGATCCATACAGTGATGTATAGAAATAGATTGTGTGTTATTTAGTGGAGGAACAGTGGATTTGCAACCTGGGTTAGAATGCTGATTCTCATTTCCTAGAGGTGTGACCATTAACTAGCTACTAGACCTCTCTAAAACAGCTTGCACAGTAAAATAGAGGCAATAGTACCATTCATATCTTGTTATGAGGATTAAATGATATAATAATATAGCATCACAATTTTTAAGGTCCTATGTAAAACAGTTCATATCATTATTTAAAACCACTTCCTAATTATTTCAAAATTTCTTCCTAATTCCTGTGAATCTTTACCACTGCTCTTCTTCTGGCTTGATTTCTGATGTCTTTCAAGGAATCATCTTTTTGTACCTTACTGTATTTTTTTCCATTTACCTTTTATTTGACTTTAAATATTCATTGCTTTGATTGGAAAGTCTCCAGAAAACCACCTTTTTTTATCTTGTTTCCATGTCCTGAGAGCCCATAAAAGATGTGATTTTAAAAAATCAAATCTTATTATTGAACATCTTCAGTGGAGCCAACCTTTCACTTCTAGTATTTTGTTTTCTTATGTTACATCATGGTCTTTAAAAAAAGAAAATGAAAATACCACTTGCATTTGTAAATTTCTTGGTTTTCTGCCAGAAACTTCATAGAAATCCTTTTTGAGTTCTCTTCTGAGAATAACATTCATTTTCTGGAAAAATATGCATAATGGAATGTGAAAAGCATATTATTTGTTGCATTCGGTATGCATTCCCTGTAAAGATAGCAAAATATGTGGAGTAAAATTGAAATATGCTCAGATTTTTAAAAAGAATATGTGGACCGGGCACGGTGGCTCATGCCTGTAATACCAGCACTTTGGGAGGCCACAGTGGGAATATTACTTGAGGTCAGGAGTTCGAGAACAGCCTGGTCAACATGGTGAAACCTTGTCTCTACTAAAAATGCAAAAATTAGCCAGGCATGGTGGTGCAGGCCTGTAATCCCAGCTACTCGGGAGGCCTAGGCAGGAGAATTGCTTGAATCTGGGAGGCAGAGTTTGCAGTGAGCTGGAATTGCACCCCTGCACCGCCCCCCCCCTCCCCAGAAGACAGAGCAAGATTCTGTCGAGAGAGAGAGAGAGAGAGAGAGAAAGAGAGAGAGAGAAGAAATATGATCCCCAAAGTTGGAGCTGGGGCCCTCTTGGGAGGTGTTTAGGTCATGGGAGCAGATCCCTCCTGAATGGCTTGGGGCCCTCCTAGCAGTAAGGAGTTCACATGAGATCTGGTTGTTAAAAAGTCTGGGACCTCCCTCCTGTCTCTGTTGCCCCACTTTCACCATGTGACACACTAGCTCCCCTTTGCCTTCTGCCATTAATAAAAGCTTCCTGAGGCCTCACCAGAATCAGTTACTGATGCCATGCTTCTTGTACAGTTTGCAGAATCGTGAGTCAAACAAACCTCTTTTCTTTATGAATTACCCAGCCTCAGGTGGGTATCACTAGATATTCCTTTATATCTAGTGATACCAAATGGACTATCATGGAAACTTTCTTCAGTACAAATAAAAATTTCTTGACGATGGGGGATAATATTTTATCCTCCATCTTTTGACAATATTTTTCAAAAGATGGAGGATAAAACATCAAATTGCTACTCCAGAGTTAATTCTGTCCAGCAAAGAAAAAACCAACCAGTAACAAGGATGTGTTGTAAACCTTCAAAAGGAAACAACTAAGGGACTTAAGCTACAAAAAGAAAAGAAAAGGAAGGCTGACTATAGAAGAATAAGTGCTACAGATATATAGAAGGCAATGAGCATTACAGAAGAAAGGCGCCTGTAATCCCAGCTACTTGGGAGGCTGAGGCAGAAGAGTTACTTGACCCCAGGACTTCAAGGCCAGCCTGGGTAACATAATGAGACCCCCTTCTCTTAAAAAAAAAAAAAAAAGTTATATATTCTTTTGTCAAAGACTCTTTAAAAGAAAAAACATCAAGAGATAATAAAATTCTGATAATAACTATCTCCACATATTTTTAGGAAAGGAGAAAGATAAAGTGGCTGATGTTGTAACATCTCAGTGAATGCCCAGATGATTTGTTAAAGGATACTATAAAAAGGTGGAAAAAAGGGTATGCAATCAAATATGATAAAATAATATTAAGAATACTATAATCCAAAGTAAACTAGGTTTCAAAAATATATTAAGAATAAAAAGATTTTAAATTATGCATATAGTAAGAAGACAATGAAGGAAGACATGTCTCCTCTTTACATGAATAATAAATTGCAAAGAGAAAGAGAAACTGGAATTCTTACCTTGCTTTCCTCTTCTCAATCAAGAAGAATAAAATTCAGACAAGAAAGAGTAGAACACATATCAGAAAAGGGAAATAAAATCCTAAACAGAATAAATTACAGCACTATCTCATTCTGGTAAGTCTTTTCAGCAGTATGGTCTTGTTTCCAACATGTCCTTCCAGCTCTAAATTTAATTCTGCTATTTGAACATTGAGGGACATGTTTTCAAGTTCAAAGTAAGATAAGGTTTATTTTTAGTAAAAACCATGTCTGCCAGAGCATCTGCTTCACTTACACCCTTTATTACTAAAAATGCCCCAGCCCCTACTGAAAGGGTAGCCCTATGTAGGTCACATAACCTTGCCATCTGGCTAAAGCTGATTAGACCAAGGGTGTGACCTTGGCCAAATTATGCCAATGGCATAATGAAACAAAATGGTTTGGGCTAAACAAATCAGATTCTCCCAGAATACTCATTTGGAAACATGGAAATAGCCAAGCTATTATCAATAGATGGGAGGCTTAAAAAATTTCTATAGATAGGTGTCTTGAGTAGAGTCAAGGCCATGAGGGGGGTTATGGAAAACAGAAGAAATAAGAAAATAAATACTGAGGAAGCACAGGCTGTAAAGTAAAGGTGATATGGAAGGCCTTAGGAAGAGTATTAACTAGTGACAGAAGATCAGCCATGGCAGGAGGAGCAGGGATGGGGGCAGGCAGTGCATGCTGTTAGTGGGATGGAAAGCCGCAGTCTTGGTGTTTGAGTCCTTCTGGGAAGATCAACAGACCCCTCCCAGCTGCTAAGGTATTTACGCAGCATTGTATCCTCCAAGATTCTGAGCTGACATTCCATTCTCCTAGGACTAGAGTGTATAGCTGTCCTTGAACTCCTAAGGAATTCACACTTCTCTGTCAATTCTGTCCTTACAATTAACTTTCTCACACTAAAAAAAAAAAAAAAAAAGAGGAAGTAGATATGTATGACAGCCCTGGAACCAGAAAAATCTCCATTGAAGGCTGTTTAGAATTTAAAGAAAATTCTATAATTTCATCTTTTTAGAGCAGGTAATTTAATCTGCCCTAAACAGGAGACTTTACTGGTTAATAGTGTGGAACATGGAATTAAGTCATACCTGAATTCGAACGCTGGGGTCTGCATGGACATAATGTCAACATTTGAAACATAAAAACTGTTTTCTTGCTGCTGTATATAGAAATACCTTGTCCATAGAAGAGTGCTTTCACACAGTAGGCATTCCACAAATATTGGGGAATAAATGCATCAATTAGATAAGTTACAAAACTTATCCAAGCCTGTCTCCTCATCTATAAAATTATACTTGACCTACCTCCAAGGATTGTTGTAAAGATTACGCAAAGTAAACAATTAGTACCTCACCTGGCATGATGAGCACTCAGGAAGTGTCCTAATTATTAATATTTTTATTCCTGCTTTCTAAGATATTTTCAGCTGGTTTATAATGTTTGTGCCTTGTAAAGTATTTAGTATTCTTCAAATTGGATGTAAAATCATATATAAAAATCTAAACAGTACATCAACATATAATTCTGATACTTTTAAATGTTTTTACATCAATCAAGAATCATATGTGTGAAATAATGACCTTTTGGGCTTTGACTCTTTTCTTGACAAGTTTTCATGATCTACAAAAATTACTCAATTCATAATTGAAGCAATTAGATCAAATATGCTTGTCCAAAATGGAGGCAAGTGTGTGATGTCCATAATGACCCCAAATCCTTCCAGTAAACAAGTGCCAGAGATAGCACAAAATAAAAAGCAAATTATGGAAATATCTGTGTTGGGAAGGTGGCGGTAGCAGAGGAATTGCTATAGTAATTTTTTTTAACCATAAGTCTCTATACTTGTACCTATATTACATATTTGAACATATGAGTACCACACTATATTTGACAGTAACTTAAAACATATTTTTTGAATGTTAAAACCACTATGACATTTTTTATCATCAAACTGAAATATTAAATTTCTTCACATTTGCCATCAGAAGACATCTTTTAAGTTACATTTGTATTGCACCTGACTACATTCTAGATTCTTTAGCTAGAGAAAAAACACTCAGTTCATAAAAACTGAAAGTGAATTGCCCTGAGAAACTTTGTTGAAAAGCACATGTATAGCACACAAACTGGAAACCTGCTAAATGGGAGGTAAACATGAAACCTGCTAAATGGGAGGTAAAAATCTGACTTAAGGATGAAAATGAAAGTTAATTTAGGAAATACTTTGATTTCTGGAAGAATCTCTATGAAAATATTTATGGTTGTGACTCTCTTAAATATTGTAAATTTTATGTACTCTTGTCTATTCTTCACATCAAATTCTACAATAAAAAAATGTATAAGCCAACAAAGTTCTGAAATGTGACAGATTTCCCTCCTACTAACAGAGTAAATAAATAACAAATTAATTTAGTATAATAAAACATAACTATTAAAATTTATTTAGACACTATCACTGTTTAAATTGCATTAAGATCAACTTAAAGTTTCTGGGTGAAGCTATGTATGACTAAACCTTATAATTTAAATATCTAAATGTATTCATTTTAATTGCCATTAATATTAAAATTTTGTCCTCTTGCTAATTAAAAATTTCCAGTTTTAAGCTTAGAGTAAATTAAATCTCCTACTTTGGCAAAGTTAGATGATAATTTGGTTGTAAGAATTAAAGATGTTAGGAAAAGACGGAAGATGAAACACATGCATCTACTTCCCTTACATCTCAAAACTCCATTAAAAAACAGCAGGAAAGGAATTTTTAATGGCAAAAACCAGAAACAATAAGGAGAAGTGAAAAGGAGAAAATGCCAATAAAACTAGAATCCAGAAAGCAAGATCTGTAAAAAAAAAAAAAAAAAAAAAAAAAAAAAAAAACCACAAAGCCCATCTGAAAAAAATTGTATTAAAAGCCTGTAGTAAGAGAAGATGAAAATCATAGTATCTCTCTTACTCCTCCTCCCAATGTTGTAGTAATCATAGCACTTCATTGTGATTACCTTTTTACTTACCTATCTCCCCCACTAGACTGCAAGCCCCACGATATAGGAAATGGGGTTTACTTGTCTTTGTACCCTGGTGCCTAGGTACTGCTTGTCTCACACAAAGTAAGTGCTCAATAGAGGATTATGGGACTAATGAATACAACTCATGTTACTGTGATAAATAAGTACTCATAATGATCTCTGTCTCTCATCCATTCAATGTGTTCTGTAAAATATAAACTGACTACTCTTTGTTTGGTTTTGCCTTATTATAAATGAATAGGTCTTGCTAATTCTGTTAATCCTATTACTTGTTCAGAGCTATTTCTGCAAGGGTCATCAATATCTGGGGATTTAAAATCTGAGCTTAAACCTACTGAAGTTCAAGAGGAGTTCAGTAGACAGGGATTCTCACCCACTGAACAAGGACACCAGGCACAGAGATCCAAACAGTGAGTCCACAAGTAGTCCTTTTGATAATATAATTTTTAAAATTTTACCTTAGGGGAAAGAATAGTGATTCACTGTTTATATATTATTGTGTTAATTTAAAATAGTTCAAAGTACATAAAGTTTTGAATTCTCTACTACAAAGACAATTAAATACAGTGTATCCTTCTCTCTTTTCAGTGATTTCCACTAGTCATCTTCACTAATACAGATTCAGAGTAAACATGCAATGTTTAGCCTGATATTCTAGACTGTTAAAATAAGACCATGATTGGAGAATTCATTTTGCAATTTTAAATTTCCTTTGAGTGAAGGGAAAACTAAGGGAATAAATGATGAGTCCTTGAACTTTATGTTGGAAGATTTGGCTCCCAAGTTGGAAAGGGAGTGCGGTAGTTGCCCCTTTTCCAAGTGGGATATGTTCCAGGACCCCCACTGGATGCCTAAAACCATAGATAGAACTGAACCCTGTGTATACTATGTTTTTTTCCTAAACATTCATACCTATGATAAAGTTTAATTTATAAATTAGACACAGTCAGAGGTTAACAATAATCACTAATAATAAAATAGAAGCTTTATAACAATATGCTAGCATCACAACACTTGTGCTTTGGGACCTTATTAAGTAAATAAGGGTTACTTGAACACAAGCACTGCAATAGTCAATCTGATAACCAAGAGAGTAATGCGTATGGTGTGGATATGGTAGACAAAGAGATGATTCATGTCCCAGGCCAGACAGAGCAGGATAGTGTGAGATTTCATCAAGCGACTCAGTACACTGCACAATCTAAAACTTTTGAAGTGTTTATTTCTGGAATTTTTCATTTAATATTTTTGGACCAAGGTTGACCAAGGGTAACTGAAATCACAGAAAGCAAAACCTCAGGTAAGAGAGGACTACTATATTCATCCAGCGCTAAGGCATGTTTTGAGGCTTTTCCTTAGTAGTATGTTATTGTGGCGGTGGTTTGTTGGTGGTTTTTAATTTTTAAAGTAGAAATAATCTTTGTTTTGAAAGGTTACTTTAGAAATTTAATGGAACAGAAATAATGTTTTTAAAAGAAAAGAACATTGAGAGTTTGTTGATATTTGTTAAATTCAGTGAAAATTTTCTTTCAGTTGTTTTTTTTTTTCTATTTTGTTCCCATGGAGGTTATTATTATTACCAATAAACCTTACAGTTTTGCATTATGAAAATGAGTGCAGTAATTGATTTGCAATGAAGTATTTTTATTAACTACAAAAATAACTTCTCACTATAGAATCCATTTTAAATATATATAATATACATATTGTCCATTGTACGTGCTACTTAGAATCACCTAATATTAAAGCTAGAAAAAACTTAGAGATCATCTAATTCATCAAGACGATTTCTGCCTAAATATTATGTTTATAAGTGGATTTGACATTATATGTCATTATCAAAATATATATGAACCATTCATAATAATGTCTGCAATGGAATTCAAACAGTATGTACAGGAATATGTATATTTACAAGATAAAGAGACACTTTTAAAAAGATGGCGGTTATAAATTCTAAA